TTAATACTGTGGTGGTCATGATTTCTGTTACATGAACTGAAAAAAACAACAACAATCTAACTGATCTAACAATGTGTACCACTTTCATATTGACATCATTTTAAACTTTATATTTTATATAAAATGTGTATTTGTCCTGGCGATCTAAGCAGCTTAGAACCTGTTCAGGCGGGCAACTCAGTGGGCTTTAAGGGGTGTTATACATCCAAGTAAGTTCAATAAAATCCAGACCCAACATTTGGGTTGAGTTTATTTGTCAAAATATGTAACAACAACAGGCTAGTAATGGGGATCTGTGTCTAAATGGGACCATGCTTTTAATTTAAGTTTTATGTTGTTTTTGCCCACAGCACTGTACAACTGCGTTTGCACACAAGCCACTTAAAGAATGATTCTGGTTTATTCCAACTTCTGACGTCAAAATCAGACAACATTAAATGTTGTATAACTTCTAGGTTATATCTGTCATTAATAATTGAATAGTTTTTTCAGTTATTATAAAAGCATTAATATCTCAAATTCTATATATGCTACATATACATAAACATAGACATAACACTTGATACACATGGTGCCCCATGGTTAAGTGCTAAATGTATTGGAACACTTTATCAATAAAGCCCCCATGTGGTCAGTTATCCTTTCCTTTTGGTTAAAGGTTATATATACGAAATGTACTGCTACTAAATGCATCTCAGACCAAAGTATTTGTTCGATAGGACCCACCAGACTACATAGACAAAACCAATAATTTTATCTCAGTAATCGGAAAACACACTTTAAACACACATTCCCAAATGCTGACAGCTTTAAACATGGCACATATACTTCTAACTTGTTCAGCATATTTCATATTTTAGCAGCAGCTTGTAGCAGTCATGCATATTTCCTTCAGAAAAATATTTTTTGTCTTTTTAAATAGGCTTGTTTTGCATAATCGAGGGACAACACAGATTACGAAAATGTAATAAACTGCCCTCACCTGCTTGTGAGACTTTGTGTATAGGAGTGGAAAATTCATACAAAAACCACGAAAAAAACAAAAAAACAATTCAGATTTAGTGGATGTCCCCTTTTACGTGCTTGATCATACGTTTTGTGACCTCATACATAAGCTGCTTATTAAAATGACACCACTCGTTTTAGGCTGCTTTGAATTACAGCAGCACCAGACCTGCACTGTACAGCCTCCTCATAAATTTCACTCCACCGACTCCACAGCAGGTCAAAGTTGACATCCATGCCATGCATCTCGACAAGTCGACTGCCAAAACAACAAAGATGTGATTAATGGATGTTTTTCCGCCCTTTTAGCATCTCTCCCTCAAACAGAGTAATGACCCTTTTCAAAGACGCAAACTGGAGCCACCGCTCATCATATTTTGAGGAGTAGTCAAACAACAGAGTACTTCACCCTTTACCAATTAATCAGTTAACTAAAGTTAAGTCAGTGGCATTAAGAAAGTGCCTCCGTTTAAACACATTAGAAAGAAACCTTGTAATGCACCATTGGCCTCTAGAAGTGGTACAAATTGATTTTCCGTACTAAGATTTTCTACTTCATGCACCCTGGTTGTAAGACAAATACCAACAGTTTTATTTTCTTTGGTTCTCTAATGCAACACGTTGGTCACAAACCTCATGAAAGCAATGAGGAAACCACCACTCTCGATCCAAAACGAAGCAATAGTTGCTATGTAAATATAGGGTTTTCTCTCAGAAGAACTCATCAAGTCAAAGTTTAGTTAAACATAGGACTTTATTAGCTTCAGGGCTGAGCATCATCACAGCAACATGTAATGTTTGCACTCACAGCTGAGGGTGGATTACCTACACACCACAACACTCACAGTCTAACTATATTAATACTGACTAAAAATAACCACAGATGAACTGTAGGAACAGTGAGAACTCTATAGAACATGTTGAATACCAGTAGCATTGCAGTAACAGATCGATGTCGATAAAAATGTTGTCTAGGTGCCTGCTGGGAGGCTTTCCACTGTACTGCCACAATATGTTTTTACAAATATGTATGGTGGATAAATGGATTATACTATAGGAGTGGTTTAAGAAGTTGCTATGGACTTGCTGGTAACTGCTGTGACTCCAAGCTGAGTACAGCCTCTGTCTTTCACAGAGGAGCTGATACGACCACTCCCATCTGCCTGCAGTGGTTATTAGGCTGGCCACTTGCAGTCAGGGAGGGTTGTTGAGGTAATGTGGTAGCACCTGTGTAGGCCTCCACCAAGGCTTTAAAGATAAGCCTTTCCTCTTTGTCTTTCTCTCTATCTAAGGTTCACGCCTTCCAGGTTATGGTTGGGTTTGACATTGTGCTGCCACAAACATACACATCCCTCACTCACCCATACATTCCACTCACCACTGATGCAATCACTCACCACACCTCATGCACTTTTCTAAACAGTAATGTTGGTTCACAGAGAGCTGCAGAATCAAACCCGGGCCACTGTGGTAAAGACTCAGCCTTTGTACATGCACATGCTCTACCAGGTGAGCTTCCAGGGAGCCCCGTTTGTCAGTTTCTAAAAAATTACTTAATTAACCTGACTGGTCTCCCCTCTGCAAACTACAAACTTTTCAGAGCCGCCTTTGAAGCTTACAGGTTGTGAGTTCCGATGGTGAAGTATTCCTTTTTAGAATTTAAAAGTGTGATCGCATCAATTTTAGATGAACTACAGGAATTTTAGACCATAGCTGTCTGTGCCTTTTAAAATGAACAAATAAAACCAAGGTTGTAATGGTTAAAAATATTAAAATAAAGTTTACAAATATTTAAGTTTCATTCAAAGTTTGAAGTCAGTTCACTCAGACACTGATTTTTCACAGCAGAATGTGTCACCGTCCAAATACTAAGACTCCACTGTAGATTTAAAATTTAGATATGCCATGATGAATATTACACAACCAGGCCTGTGCATGGAAAACAAGCTAGAGCATAAGTACATTCAGCCTCCAGTGTCTCCAGTGAGGAATGGCTCAGGACTGTGGTTGTACTGGGCATCTCTTAGGTGTAAATGTGTTAAGGCATGAATGTGAAGCAGGATGTTCCTGGATAAGAGCATGCATGCTCAGCAAGACTCCTCTGAATAAATAATGGCTTAAAGAAACACAATGACAACATAAAAACGTACGTGCATATTCCATCTCCCACGCGTGTGGCCACTGGATGCAATTTGTCATCCCACTCTGCGTTTCCACCAGGTTCTCCCGTCCTCCCCCTTCGTCTGCTTAGCAGTTAAGTTGGGAATAACCTATGCTTTGTGATGGGTTGTTAGCTTTCTCTCCAAGGCCATTCATATTTTATGACAGCTTGGTGAGAGGCGAACTCACCAGGAGACACAACTACAGGCAGTTTACAAACTAATGAGCAGCGCTGTCTGCCAGAGGAGCTGAGCGTCATCATGGCCGTATTGACTGGGAGGTGGCTTGGGAAAAAAAACACATGATGATGGATTGGGAAATAATGTGGCCAAAAAAGATGTTTATGAAAGGGGCTTTCCACTGCCTCCACGGAGGTGGCTCATTACCGCGCAGAAGTCAAAGGTAGCATGGGCATTGAGGGAGGCAGAGATGGACAAAGTTGAGGAAGAATGGATGGAAAAGAGGAGAGAGTGTGCTGAATGGGGGAAGGAAAGAGACAGATGGAGTGTGGGGCGATGGCAGTGCTGAGAGTGGCAGACACACAGCGAGGGAGGAAGATGGTGAGGGAAGGAGGGAGTCAGGTGAGTGAGGGATGGACCCAGATGTAGGGAGGGAGTGTTGGAAAGATGGATGGATGGATGAAGGGGAAGGAGCAGTAATTACAGGCCTTGTTGTGCGGTTGGAGAGATGGAGGAGCCGCTTTTGCAGCACTGCCACTCTGCATTAACACAGCAGAATGAAATATTCAGCCATTAGGACTCGGCTGAAACACATCCAGTGCCCCGTCTCATGCAGCATTTAAACACCATTCATGTTCTATTCATTATAAGGCGGCCTATTACATATAATCATCATTTTGCTTGAGTTTGTACTTCAAGACATACACTCTTTTTTTCATCTGTAAATGCAACACTGCATCTGAGTCTAGAGGTGAGAGTGGCAAGTCAATACCAACTCCAATTAGGCCTTGAAATCATTGGTAAACATTGCCTGGGATTTGATTTTCTCAAGCTACACAGAAGGATGAAATGCTTTCTGCCTCACATTTGTGTCTTATTCTCTTACTAGAGTCTGAAGTAACGACGGTGAACCGCTGCCTGGATGCTGCCAAGGCGTGTAACATAGATGAGACATGTCAGAAGCTTCGTACGGAATACGTCTCGGCCTGCATCCAGCCGTCAGCCCGCTCGGGGCCATGTAACCGACCAAAGTGCAACAAGGCGCTGAGGAAGTTCTTTGACCGTGTTCCCCCCGACTACACCCATGAGCTGCTGTTCTGCCCCTGCACCGATACAGCCTGCGCAGAGCGCCGCCGTCAAACCATCGTGCCGACCTGCTCCTACGAGGACAAGGAAAAGCCCAACTGCCTGGCTCAGCTGCGGATCTGCAAAGCAGACTACGTGTGCAGGTAGAAATTAGAAATCTTGTCTAACATGCTGCCTGCTGCCAAGAACATTTAACTCTTAATTTCCCGAGTTGAGTTCAACTCGGGAAATTAATACTCATTCGACTTACTGAACTGATAATTTGCAGCGACTGTGACTTCTGTTTAGAGATCACAAAGGTCATTTTATATGTTTTGGCTCAATTTTTGCAAGTTATGTACACATTATATCAATGCTGAACCTTTTTCAAATCATATTATAATTGTTAGATATTGGTTAGACATGGTGTTCTTTTTTGTCTTAGTATAGTATAAAATAGAATTTCTAGTGACTTCACATAAAAATAGGTAAATATGTAATACATGACAGCACACACTGATTGATTTGTCCTGGTGTGTTCAAGTGCCGCTTTGAAGCTCTGATGTCCGAGATTTAAAGCTGAAATAAATTGTTTTGACGGTCAGAGGCAGAAAGTACACTCCCACATAAATGGAGAAACAAGCTTTGATACACTACATCAGCTTATAGAGTTCTTATGTTTAACTTGTTAGCAAACACCTGCCTGAGGTTACTGACACATCCAGCATCTTGTTTGATCTGCCAACTCCTGAGAAAACTATCTGGGTCTTTTTTTCTTGTTAGATGTTTGACCAGCTTCACCAGCTACTTATTTACTTTGGCTCTCTGCTGTTTCACGCTGGACAGGTATTCTACAGTAGATTTGTGCAAGCCTGAGGAGTAGTTTGTGAAAGTTGGAGCAACTCAACTATACAGACTGGAAAACACAGTCTTGTCTAATTACAGAAAATTACATTAAAGCTGCTTCAATTGTTTTTTGGCAACTAGTTGACAGACAAACGAAAGTAGTTATGGGTAGCAAATTGTTGCCTATTTACAGCATTTTCTTTGCCAGCTGTTTGGATCTGGGCAGGTAGTGTACACTCACTTCATTATAGCTTTTTTGGGCTGAAAACAGCAGCCAAACGTGCATTAAAACTTAAACAATGAGTTAAGAGGCTAAAAAGCTCTGTTGAGCTGTAGATTTGGGAAATAATTGTATGTATGTGCATTGCAACCACTTTCACATGGCAGATGGATTACTGATACTGACTAACATACTTTAGTAAGGCTCAGTCACACCAGCATTTAAAACAGCAAAATTTTAAATTTGGTTCATGTCAATCGCCATAATGAGTGTTTTTGCTCAAATCCTTTCCATTGAGTTAAAGTTGGATATTCTGTGACACCGCTGACCATTAACAATCTGCTTTGACAGTGCTGACCTTTTGCGAGAACGGACAGGAAGCTATTGTCACTTACCTGTCACCTTGATTTAACCTCCTCTGTTAGAGTATAAACTGCTCCATAAAAGAGACCTTGTTTGTAGAGACAGTTTTGGGACAGGGAAATGGAAACAATGGTATTATTAGTCTGTGTGAGCTTATTGTCCCATTAGCTATCTAGCTTGAAAACTGACGGTTAGCTAGCTGAGAGTGCTTTTGAAGCTCACTAGTTCCCAGCTAGTTTGCTTGTTAGCGATTAGCTCACCAACTAGCCAACATCACAAGCTTATTGCAGCACCTTTTTGGTCATGCAGCTTCATTTTGCTGTACCATTTTATAGTGTGACCAGGACCTTATTCTTAAGTATCATGTGTTGCAACCGAACATGAATGCACCCACCCCAAATGCTGCAAAACAGCACCTACTTTCAACTTTAACTTGGATTTAAAATGACATTGGATTACCTATGAAAACAAGTTGCAGCGGTATCTTCACCACTATTGTGCTCAATATGAAGTGCTTTGTGTAGCTATGTGGTGGCCTCGCACACTAACATCCCCTCAGGACAATAAATGGCATTGTGTATCTTGGAAGATAGGTCTGAATGGTATGATATGTTCATTTAGATTTAATTAGTCTGCTGCGTTTAATTAATTCAATTGTTATACTCATTAACTGTGTTTAATTAGTTCAATTAAATTCTGCATTCATTTTCTGAGAGAAGCAGCCAGGCAACAAGCAGCCAACTATGTGAAATAGTCATTATTAGAGCAGCCATTATCATTTGGGATTCACACATGACTTTCCTGCCAAAGTGCTCTGAAAATATTTGTCAATGTACAGCCGAGACATCAGAAGGATTAGCTGGTAATTTGCAGAAATCTGACCCTCTCTACAAGATATCGGAATGAGCCTATTTATTCTGCATTAAATCCCTTTGTATGTGAGACACCAATAAAAATAAAGATTACATTTAAATTTAAATTGATTGTAAACATCCAATCAGAAAACTAACAGTGTCTTATGAAGTCATTAAAATTCAGAGGGTGTATTTCTCCCTATCGCTGGAGACTGAAAACATGCAGTTCTCATACACATCCAGTCAGCCTCCTCCCTCTGACAGCAAATGGTCGCCAGCGTTTAATCTAGTTCCTCTTCAAATGTCAGGAAGACAAAGGGCTTCATCTGTCACGGCTATCGATCAGGCATTATTCTCCACCGCCGCCCGATGGATGGAGTATCTCAAGGCCCCTACACAGCCCGCCAATCCCGCACTAGTCAGCTGGCATTAACCGGCAGCCTGCAGAGGATGCTTTCACTTAGTGCACAGCCTATGAGTTTTACGCGCATCATTATAATGACATGACAAACGAGGGGAGAGTGGGGAGTTGTAGCGCCCTGAGGGGATCCCGTTGCAAATGCCAGTCGACGGGAGCTGATGATGCGATATGATGGCCACGATAGCCTTGTACGATGATGATGATGATGAGGCTAGATGTCTGAGCGGCTGGCAGGAAAGGTGAAGGAGGAAAGGCAGAGCGGCTGTGGGAGGATATTTATATGGAAGATCCATATTTGTCTAATCTCCTCATGGCCAGGCCTGCCAGACACTGCCCACGGTATTTAGAGAGCAGAGCCAAGGCCTATCTTTGCCCCTCATTGACTCTTTACAGCCTGGCAACCTTCCATAAGACAGCTCGCTGGGGAAAGTGAGGAGGAAAGAAAAAGAGGGATGAATGTCACCAGGGGTGACTGGAGTCGAGGTTGAAGTGCTGCAGAGCGGGAAATCTTGAAGGGGGCTGATGTAGGTGTATAGGTAGGTAGATGAGCGTTGGGGGTTTCAGATCCACATCCTGTTGTTGAGAGAAAGCACCGATGCCGGCCATTCCTCGGTGACACAAAGTGTGCAGCAGCCAAGCACGAGTAAATGATGGATGGCATGTTATTGCTCCCACAGGTCTCGCTGGGCACAGTTCCAGTATGATTGCCAACCTTCCGAGCAGAGCGCCAGTGGCTGCAAGCAGGAGAACTACGGAGCATGTCTACTTGCGTACACTGGCCTGATGGGTAAGAACTAAATTTTCCTGTGCCAGCTCTGGCTCACCCACCTTCTGTGATAGATCAGAAAAAAAAGGTTTTAGAGGGAGGAAGGCGGAGAGCAGAGAAGTGCACTGAACAGGACTCAAAAGAATGAATCAAGGATTGTGATGAGAAGCGTGGTCGAACAATCGATGGAGCGCTGATTAATGTGGCTGCAGCATGCCCGGCCAAGTCGTTGGTATTATAAGTAGTGCAATTACAACTATTGACCGCTGTTTTGAGAGAATTATCCCTGACATGACGATGAGTGGGAGCAGGCAGAGGCGTAGAACATGGCTTATTGTACTTTAGATAAAAACTTAACAAAAGATCACATAATGCACAAAAGGTTGTTTAAAAACCACTCAGTCTAAACATGTCATTATGGGACAACAATACTGCACTGAACTGCAGCGGCTAAAAGAGTAAAAAAAAAAAACATAAGTTGTTTAGTTTGTGAGGGACTGAAGGAGACAGATTAAGGAAGACAGAGACAGAAAGCTGTGCAGCAGTGATTGGCCATTCTAGACAACTGAAGTAGAAGTGAGACGCTGAGGTGTTGTTGTTTGGAAGTCTGGAACCCAGAAAATCGATGGAGGTAAATCAGAACTTTTTTCGCAACACAGCCTCAAAGTGCAGCAATTCTATTTCCCACCCCTTTTAAAAATACAAGCTACAAGACTATATAGCCCTTCCCAGAGAATGACTTCCCAATCATTTCCCACTGAAAAGCTCCAAAGGCAGAAAAGAATAAAAAGAATACATTTGAAAGACCTCTGTGCTGGTGCCTGGACTTTGCACTGCGGGCCGCTGCACTTATCAAAGTCCACCAAGCTCCCTGCCCCGGTGGATATGCATGTTAGAAACTCTGAAAACTAGAAAAGCTAAACCAGAGCTACTGTACTTGTTGTTTGGTCTTTATCTGTTGCATCAAAAACAACTCACAGAGACATCGAGAGAAGGATGCTGTATAAGCAATCAGCTCTGTGTCTCTTTTTTTATGCATTCATATGATAAATACATCCACAAAGAAAATCACATTTAAAAATAATTGCCTGTCACAAAAGATCAGAATGTTTTTAGCAAATGTTAGCTGGTTTCTAATACCCATTCCTGTGAAAAACACAGACAGTACAACTTTATTGGCTCAGTAATGTAAAGCCCTGTCAGCAACTGGGATTGAACCAGTGAACATATGATCACCAGGCTGCCTGCTTAACTAACCTGCCATTCTTTGTCTCTATTCACTTCACTTTTATCTGTTCTTCTTCTTTTTGATATTCCTCTCGGTTTCTCTCTCTGTGAATATATTTACGTGCACACTAATAATTCAGTCTTAACCTGATTAGGTCAATGTTGTGATGATCGAAATTGCCTTGTCTTTATTTAATTATCATAATCAGAGTAAGGTCATAATCAGGATAAGCGTACCAAGATTAAATCAGCCAGAATTTTGCTCAAACGTTCAATTTGTTGGAATATTGAATTCCTTAGTCAGACAGTATTTCTAGCTCAAAATGGCACAAGGCAGCAGGTTGAGTAGCTTGAATAACACCTAAACAGTTCAACTAAATAAAAGACACTACTTATTCATGTGATCTTATGTTCAGATCAAATCATTGTGTTATTAACCTTGAAACATGGAAGTTATATTACTTTGGTATGCGTACAGAACAACGGTGTTGTGTCTCCCTCTCCTCCCCTCTACAGGAAGCATGATAACTCCCAACTACCTTGACAACTCCACATCCAACGTGGGACCCTGGTGCTCCTGCACAGCAAGCGGCAACCACAGAGAACAATGCAATGACTTCCTCACTTTTTTCCACGACAATGTCTGCCTGAGTGAGTACCTTCTGCAGAGAGAGACCTCTGGCAACACAGTAGCAATAACAACCATGACAAAGAACCGGGACAAGTGTGCGCATTAAGAAAGTGTACTTATACAAAAATAACAAAATAATCAATGATACTTCTAAACCTCAAAAGTCCTTTTGATAACAATTTGTAACACTAAAACGAGTCAGTCTAAACCAGTTAATGAATATTTTTGCATTTGCTGCTCTTACAGTTCCTTAAAACTATATTTTGTGGTTTATTTCGTGCACAGGTAAACAAAAGAACACAACTTGCAGACACTTTATATAAATATTATTTTCAAGCCTTTTTAAGTCTGATTTTGATATTTGTTCAGACATAATATCCTGAACAGTGTCTGTTTTAGGCAGAAACAAAATAATATATTAAAATTATTCTCTTCCAGAATTAGAAAGGGGTTGGAAACAGCATTTTACCATTACATAATAAAATTACAGGAATTAGAAAGGAATAGTTAAAGAAGTATTCATCATTTTATCCTCTCATTTGCTTTTTTGCAGAGAAATCTGTGCTTTAAACAGGATTGAGATTAGTTTAGCTCGCTTAGCTGAGTTAAATTTAGCATAAAGACTGGAAACAGCTAGTCTTGCTCTGTCTAAAGTTTTACAGACTACACGTACAACATATGTGGTTACATGTGAGCATTAAAAGGTGCTGGTAGGTGTATTTTTGGGATATAGCCAAGTAGTATCAATCTTTTAACTGGGCAAGAAAGAGAATAAAATAAATAAAATTTTCCTTTTTCATTATAACAATCAATTCAACAATATTTGGACTCATAGCCTCAATATGAAATGCTAGCTACTGTCCTGTTTATCAATAAGAAAACAGAAAACAAAGTCCTGCCCAAGTTGTCAAACTGACTAGTCCTCTCCAGACGACCACTTTGTTTCATTTTTCAATATCCGTGAAGAGTGAGCACTCCTGACACATCAGTGACACAGTGAAGACTACACAGTCACTCCCTCGCCATGTCTTTACTTCAGTCAGTATTAATTTATATCTCTGCACACATAGGACTTCGCAGACAAACCATCCCTGAGTGATCGCAGCAGTGACAGACCAGTGACATTAATGAAACACTACATCTGTTGACACACAGTAATGGGTTACCACATATAATATCTGTTTGTTTTGAATATGCTGGGAAAATCATCTCTGCAGAAATAAATATTTACAATAAGAGAGTGGCAGCACCAATGATAAAACTAAGACATCAGCGACTGATACACTACAGCTGATATTGCATAAGGATTATCCACCAATCCACTGTAGTCTTTTACCCTTTGTTGTAGCTTTCATTCATCCATCAACAACAACAACAACCAAACCGTTGATAGGAGATCATCTCTCTGAATGAGTGATATCACTAGTGACATAAGAATGACACCAGTGACAAAGTAATATAAACTGTAGCTGCTGGTGACACAACAGACACTGGAGTTTATTTTGGGTTATTATTTTTTCTAACAACAGAAGAAGACAAGTTCTTACAAAGCTGTCTGTATGAGTAACAACACCAGTGACAGACCAATGACACCAGTAACAGTACAAAGCAAACTGCGGCTGCTGTCATGTGGTGACAAAAGAGAATGTCAGTGTTTGTTAAGTTTATTCAAGGCTGAGTCTTAGTTCAACTATGCCCAAAACAAAATCACACAAGAAGCATCATACACTGCTTCCACTGGACATGGTTGTCTTGTTTTCTGGCGCCAAGAAACAAACTGATGCTGTTCTATCCCGTGTGCCAAAGTCCACTGGACACGTGACTGAAGCATCCACTGCTCCGCTATCATTACATATACCGGGTCTATTTTAGACCAGCTTCACTTCTCAAGTGCGAAATTCACAATAACGCTTGACATTACAGCCCACAAATTACATTACTTATAACACACACACTATTCTTTAGGATGTGTGTTGTCTAATTAACCAGTGGATCCCAACCTTTTTTCTTAAGGGACCCCTTTCCTATCATTGTGTAAACTGACGACCTCTGACATAATAATTTCACATTATACTCAATGCAATACAATACCAGAACAACTGATAAACTGTGCAATTACCCAAATAGTGAACTCAATAACTGCAGAAAGTTTGTGTAAAACGAGTGTTTGGATGAACTTTGAGCATTTTATTTCCTGTGAATATTGCATTAGAGTTTTTTTTTAGGAACTTTAGTTTTTTCTTCTTCCTCATTCTTTGCCATAGTTCTCTTAGCTCTTTGGCTGTTTAAATGGCATACTTTTCTAATGCCAGGTAAGGCTGTTTGAGAGTGAAAGCACTGTGAATATAGTTTGTGTCTTCAAGATTAAGATTTTAAATAATATTCTAAACTTTACAACAGTAAAGCAGTTTTAGTTTATTTAGTTTTCTTCATAAGAATTATAGAAATGCTGAGATATATATATATATATATATATAGGCTGTGTATATTTTTGTGGGTTTTGTGTGTTGTGTTTTCTTACACCCCTTTAAATCAAGAAACCCTCGTGACCCCTTGTGAAGCTTTTACAACTCCCTGGTAGGGGGATAGTATATGTCAGGACATAAAAGCTAGTCTTCTCCAGCATCAGTTTCGTCACATGGATCCTATTTTGGACCCGCTAAAAAAGACTGTCCCTCAGTATTCTATCATAATTTTAAAACCATACACATTACTGTTTTATAGCTACAGCTATAAAGGTTCGTCCTTCTACCCTAGTTTAGCCAAATGTTTTGTCCCCGAGCAACAATAATGAACTCCATATTAAATAATGAGGATTCCATATTGAAAACTTTTTATGATATCATTTCCCAAAGTAATATTTTCATTATAATATCATCATCATGTATATATCATAATGTTTTAAATAAATCATGCCATAATTGCAATATCAGCACTGTTACCACATTTTGCCAATTTAGCCTGCTTTGTAACAAAATAACTTTACCCTATAATAAAGCACTCACACAACTTGCTCCCTAACGTCTTCTCTTCTTCCCATGTATTTATATATTTGTCCCAGTATAAGTATTATACTGGGTATTTTATTGACATCCCAGATTAAACTGCAAAATAATTATAATATAATTTGCAGGTAGTAATCTAAAGCAGTACCAAATTTACTTGTGTTTGTGTATAAATGTTAATATTATTGTCAATTGCCAATTGAGGCAGGCGCTGAAAAGCAGGAGACTGAATGTTATGGTTTACCTTCCACTGATGTGCTATATTCTGGAAAAACAGATTCAAAATAGATAGCTGCATAAATTAGTCAAAAAAGTAAATGATGTGTTACTACATCAATCATAAGTGAGAAGCAAAATGTATTTAATGTGCTTATAAAACAAAATGTTTTACAAACAACTCTAAACAATGTTGCTGCTTAAAAACAGATTACTGCGGTGGCACAACTGAAACATGACACAGCCGCATCCGAGCTCAGGGTGGGATATCTGGTCAAAACCCATTTTAAAACAGCTTTTACATTTCATGTTGTCCCCAGTGTAAAGGTAGTGTTCTTCAGGCAAACTATTTTTGTGTATGGAAGTAGAAAAGGATACAACATTTACCAGCTTGCTGGTTAATCCTCAGCATCAAAGATGGAGACAAAAGCATAAAAACAACCATCTGGAGTGCCACCAATAGAAAAAGAAGATATACAGGACGATTTACATGGGAAAAAGAAAATAAAAAAAAGACTAAAATTTCTACTAATTAAAAACATTATCTCCTTCTCCAGTGACAAACCTCTTTGTACAGTAAACCACTTATATTAATTGTGCTCCACAAAGGGATCACTACTTGATGTTCTGTAATGGGCTTTAATGAGTTAATCAGTGATTGCAGCTGCAGATTCCCAAACAACAGAGCAACAAACTGTCATTAATAATTCCTGGTTTGCCAACTTCAAATTCATTTAAAGCATACCAGCTTGTTTTCCTGGTGTGCAGGTGTTTATGCATGACAGCAGTCAATGCTATCTCTGACTAATAATACTTGTTATAAGGATGTCACTTGGTGCTTAATACTGGAAATGTTTTTAGGAGACTGTCCTCTCAAGGAATCAAAATATGATAGAATGGGTTAACAAAAAGTAAGACATTAACGTGGGTTAGGGTTAACCCACTGCTTCATTTCCAGCCAACAGTCAGTATTGTTGTTCTCTTAGCCTGATCACGGTCATTCCCTAGTCAGGTGTTTATTATTGTAACCAGGAAGATGAAACACTTACCCAACAAAGTAGTAATTTAAACCAAAACCACAATGTTTTCCTAAGTACTTTTTTTAACCCAAATCCTAAACCTAACCAAGTTGTGTGTCTGAACCATAACCATATTCTGTTATGAGTTATTAATGGTTGCAGACATAAGGAAAATTCAAGGGACCAGACATATACCATAAAACTAAACCATAAAATCTTGAAATCCAAAATTGCACCACCACACATTAACCAAACACTGGCTGTAGATCGGGCCTTTTGTGAGTTTCATGGCTACTACAGTTTCTCCTACAGGCTTGGAGCAGGAGGGTCAGAAGAAGGCGTTGTAATCTGCAACTACACTGCTAGATGCTACTAAATCCTACACACTGGTCCTTTAAATGAGAAACACCCACATAAAAGCACTTTTGTTGCTCCTTGAAGGAATAAAACTCGCTTATTTTTCAACAGTTACTTTTAAGGATTTTGGAAGGCACAAACAAATTGTGTCATCCTGCCGATGCAGGCATCAAATCAGAAAACAATTTTACGTGTTGTTGTAAAGAGCAGTTAACTTTAATTTAATTAATTCATTTGAAGGACCAGTTGGTTTTTATATGTTACATATAACCGTTATTTTTAGGATGGACCTACTGAAGTCTCATCACTTCATTTTAGGACCTCTATATGATTCAAGCTGAGTTAATGTGACGTCGTCTAACAGTGTCTAAAACTCCATTTCCAGTGCCACTATTGAAGCTGCTGCACACACAACACACATAA